AGTACTCGGTGACCTGTAGTGATCAAGACTAGGGTAAAAATCTGCCGAAGTTCCCCTTTAAGCAGCATAATGTTGTACTTGGTTGAGGTGGCATTGATATTCAGTGCAAACACATGTAGTGGTATAAAAAGTGCCGTAATTTCCTTTGAGGTGAAATGTAACATGAAATAAAAATCACATAACAATTAGTACATGAGTAAATGTACTTGGTTACTTCCAGCAACTGTACATAAGGCCATAATTAAACGTTTGTCTTTCAACGGGCACATACAGTAATTTGATGGTTAGTTGATGGTTTAATAAGGTTATATTATCATAATCATCATAATAATTAGAGTTCTGACGTTCATGAACGAACTAAATCTATTCTTTTTCTTTTTTTCGTACTTTTTTTTTTTTTTTAATCGCTGTCACGCACACAGCATGCACACACAAGCTCCTCCTTTGCTACTCCACAGAGACGGAGAGCATGCACAACAAGGGGAGGAGTGCAGCAGAGTACACAGGTGCTAATTTGATATGCAAATTTCGCATGACGTCATCTGAGTTGTCCGACACAGTGGCACACTGCCTTCACGTGAGTGTCAGTACCGCAGCTACAATGAGCCAAAGAAAGCACAGCAGCATTTGGATGATCAAGACTTGACCTCAAGATCCGGTTCCCTTCAAAGAAATCCCAACTCTACTAATAATCCACTATATTACAATAAACAATTGTGGGAACTGGGTTCTATACTGAAAATCATAATTCTGTATATGTAATTAGATGCTTGTCTGGGATGAGTTAGATTTATGTGAGCATGGCAGCTAACAGCCAAACTAGCCGTATCATCTTGTCATTAGTTTACTTGTTTTTAGGAAATCCTAAATTAGATGGAAATGTAATGATCCCTGTAGGGAAACTGGGTTGTGGCAGCAGCGGAGAATCAGATAAGAATAAGTCAGAGCAGTGAACGTAATACAAGGAATTACAGCAAGTGAACATGCTGAAAAGTGGAGCATAGAAATAAGCATCTGCACTGACAGACTCGCAGGCTAGAGTGGCTGTGTAAGAGCTATTCACATTATCTGATGTGTCAATGAGATAACTACTGTACAGAATATATCTATGACACACATATATATATATATATATGCATTGTATGCAGGAAGATACAGCAGTTTATAAATGTAGAGAACTATGTCATTTTTATCTCAAAATTGTGGCACCTTCACAGAATTCTGCCCAAGCGTATTTTTGACCTGTATGGATGAGTTTAATGATAATCACATGGCAGGATTTTTTTGTTTTTGTCTTGTCTTCATAAATACATCCCCAACAACAAGTTGTAAAGTTGTCTGTGTGGTGTTGTAGTCACATGGACATGAATAACTACAGTAGTTATCCCCACTGCCAAGCCAAACCAAAAAGTGAGGGCTCAGGTTGCAGCTGAGCCTTGCCAACAAGGAATTAAGTAATGCTAGTGTTGTAGCAAATGTGTTACCATGCTTTTTAAATCTGTATCTATCTTGGGAGAAACCCTGCTCCACTTAAGACAGTTTCACACATTCACAAGCTGTTAATTTAACTGTGTTTATGTAGTGGTGGTCTACCAGAAACACACATAACACTTACTTATATTGGCATGGGATTATTTTTCCTTTTGGTATGACATTGAGCCAGCAGCAATGGGCTGACCTTGCCAGCTAGTCATCAGCACCAGTACCTGGAACATGACTGCTCCAGGCAGCGCAGTCCAGCAGCCTGTCTCATCAAACGAACACTGCTGACTGGGTGTCACACAGTTCTTTCTGCTGTGACAGCTGTCCAACTGACTAAGAAGAACTTACTAGCGCTGATGTGTGCATGGCTACACACTCTCAATGATAAAAAATATCTTTTGCAGACACTTACTACATAACTTCATCAAATCTTTCTAATTATGTTGCTTATTCGGTGTTAGTTTGTGCGACAAAGTGGCTTTAAATGTCCTTGAAAAATAAAGATGAGCAATAAGATATGCATTTACTAGCCTTTGACCTGTGTGTGAGTGCGTTTTATTTTCAATTAAATGATGTGCTTTCTACGAACTTTCCATAAGTGGACCTTTTAAGAAATGACTTAAAGACTAAAAGTGTTACCTTTAAACTTTTACCGAAGAGAGTCGGTAGAAGAGCGAAAACATTGAGAAAAGTTCTGATATAACTGATCCCAGCAGTGTCTACACTAACCTCTACGGGAGCCATCATAATTGTTTAACCAACACTGTCTTCTTGCTGCGTCACACCTAGCGTCCACCCCTGTAGCTGCCAGAACTTCCTCAAAGGACACTGATTGGTCTGGTACCACTCTACTGGCTACAAACGAGACTGAAGCCTGGCAAGACAGATTCTTAGGTGAATCTCTGATTTTGTGATGTTTGCGAGCCCAGCTGCCTCGCAAGGTTAAGCTACACCATGTCCTTGTGGAAAGCCTTGTTGGTTACTAAATGAGGCCGATGTGGCTATTAACAGTTGTGGGGGGCATTCATAAGAGGGTCTGAATCAGTATGGAGGCTGTAAAGAGGGAACATTCAGTGCTACAGATGACTAGGGAAGCACACATAGGCATGATCAGAGTAGGCTACTGTTTTATTGTGTGATTCTTTTTTAACGATTTTAGATATTGTTCAAAGCCAGAGAACTGGCAGTCTAAATGTCTAAATAGCTTTGAACAGATTTAGCTCACTTGCCCATGTACTGTCCTCCTACATCATGGAATTCCTAAAAAAAAAAGGTTTGATGTTCCTCTTGATATAAAAAAAGTTAATTGCTTGAAAGTACATCGACTAACAAAGCTGTATAAAAAAAGAAAAAAAAAAGCTCTGACAGCTTTAACAGTGCATCTTTGAACTTTACTTTTAAGTGATGCGTTATCAAAAAGTCCCTCAGAAGTAGGGGACAAGGCATCAGAGCAAAGGCTATCCTAATGCTCATTTTTTGGATTGCATCATATAGAGTGCAGGGCACATTCAGCTCAAAGAATTCTCACTCGTATTTGGACCTTTTTTCATGTTTTCTTAGGGAGGAAAGGAAGGAAGGGAAAGAGAGCTGGAGGCATACTGAGAAGCACAGAGAAACACACTAACACAGAGGGAGAAACTTCCAATAAAAACTGCAGAGATCACAGGAGCCCCATCAGAAACACTTGCTCACACACTCGGAGACAAGAGAGAACCATCCGCAAAACACATCCCAGTTTTATTTTAGCAACATGCTTCTTGGCTGGGCAAGATCAGAGAAAGTCAGTCATTACTGAAGAACAAGGCAGACCGAAGGGAAGTAAAACATTCAAAATGTTAAACAGTATCAAAATCCTCAGTGCCAGACAACTAGTTTGTCCAAAGTCTCAAAGCTTAAAGACAATTTGGAGATCATACTTACAACATGTGTTTTCTGTTGTCAAAGAAGATTGAAGTATGTTTCGTAACTGCAAGTTGTTGAGCGAAAGTGTGCTAAACAGCAAACTCTGATCCTTAGCTGCTCAGGCTTCTTTTCCCCTACCTGACAAACCCTACAGGTACAAGCCCATACATGTTAGGTTGTAACACAGGCAGGCCCAGGGTTTACACAAATGTCAACTTCCACTCTACTTTTTAACCTTCCTCCATCAAAACTAAGTTTCACGTCAGCATTTTGGCTGTGAAAAGCCTTATTTGTTTCTTTTCACGGTTGGAAGACTCGTTTCTAAAGCTAAGGACTGCACAAACTTAATTAACAAGGCTTTAAGTAAATAATTAATTTACAGAGAAGGAGATGGGAAGGCAAGTCTGTGACTGACCTTGCTCTGTTAATACTGCTGTGGTCAAAGATAATCATGCATCGCAATCGAGATGAGCAGCTCTCAGAGAACTGCAATCATTAATTTATGGCAACAAATCAAGATTTCAACAGTCGCTGAGTTTTTCCCGAATTGATTTTCTAAGGACAGAGGGTGTTGTGTGCTGTACAGATTGAGGAGCTTCCTGAGGCAAATTGTGATTTGTGATTTTGGGCTATATAAATACAATTTTACTTTGCTTGAATTCTGAGTTGGACAAAATGTATAGTTGAAATGAGTTATTTGGATATAGTAATGGGATGAGTGAAGGAACATATATCTAGCAAAAGAGTCCAATAGTAATTCAACAATTACTTGAAGGTTGCATTAAGCCCAATTCAGACCAAAGATGACAAGACGAAACATTGCAGGGAAAAGTGTGAATCGGCTGGCTCGGCTGATTCCGTTGATTGTGACTCAAATCTCCAGTGGCTGGTTTTAGAATGTAAAAAGGCATGTCAGTTGGCTCACTGTGAAGTCAGCTGGAAGAAGGTGGAAAGAGAGGATCACCTCATCAATTTGATAGTTTGCATCATTTCATCAATAAAATGCAACTGTAGCAAATAACCCACAGTACACAACCGTGAAAAGCCGGTAGGTAAAATGGAAGTACAGACATTTTTTGCTATGGAGACGATACACTATCTCATCTAGTTGTTTTGGTGTGAACTGACAGGGTTTCACAATGTTGCAGACCAGTTTCAGTGTCTTGTTTCCACATCTTTGGTCTGAACTGGACATTAGAAACATACTAGCCCTAGACAGCTAACTACTGGCTAGCTGAGTGAACAGTAAGCTGATAATAAAGTAATATAAATTCTACTAAAACTAACTAAAATTACCAAGCACAAAACAGCTGTAATAAAAAGAATACAGACACATATTTGGGGAGTATATAAAAGAAGCATGTTAATATCTGTTTGGACACAGATCTGACAAAATTGTGGATGTAACAATGCCAGACAACTGCTAGGCTATAGTACTGTTCCAGTAGTGGTTGCTATAGCAACACAATGTTCAGATTAAACTAAGCTGGAACTTTCTATTTCTTGTCATTATTTGTCTTTGTCTTAGCCACTGGTCTTGCCCATTATATTAACTCCTCTCAGCGTTGGACTGACATTGGATTTCATTTAGGTGGTTGTGAATAAAGCTCTTTTACTGCTTTTATTTTGAATAAGGTAAGCAGGCAACATTGGCACAATTACAAGGATAAGAAACACAATAGAGTAAGTGCTCCTTAAATCTGATAATTATAAAAAAGCAGGCGCTCCAGAAACACAGGCAGATAATGTGTNNGGGGGGGGGGGGGTTCTGCAAAATTCAAGGCACACTGCTTTGTAAAAGTAGAAAAAGGACCATGAGCACCTTTATTGACATGGCTTCATGATTAAAAATTAGGCCGAGCATATTAGAACACATCAGACAGCTGCAAACTGTTATTTCTCAGGATTAACCATAATTATTCTTTTGTGATTTCATTTTTTTATTTCATTAAAGGTCCCATTAAATTGCTATCATAATATAATGGGATTGGTTCCCTGTTGAAGCAGAACAGTGTGGGATCAATCTCAAGTGTAAAGCATGGGCTATGGATTATGGAGAGAAAGGCAGTTTGATTTGAAAGGTATGATTGTTGAGAAATGTGTGATGACATTACTGGTCAGACGAAGGACAAAATTGTGGTTATGGGAAATTATGTATGATTAAGGGAAGGATTAAGTAACTTATAAACGTCAGTAAAGTTAGGGGAAGATCGAGGTATTGGTTAATAAAAAGGCAAATGTTGATCGCAGGTCTTTGACAGCGTGTGCATCCTGCATGAAAGTCAGACGTGAAACGCATCGACCCAACAAGTCGACCTCGACTACATAATGGGCACACAACTTCCTGCACTGACACTTAAGTAGGGCTGTCCTGATTATCATTTTGTTGTTTGAAGCTTAAGTGACAATGACCCGTGAATATTCGAAGCTCCGAAGGTCTCCAGTCTGGAGTTCATTTGAGAAAAGTATGTGCTCTGAAGGGGTTGATATCTCTCTCTCTCTCTCTCTCTCTCTCTCTGCACCGCTCTGCAGGCACACTGGCTGCTCCTGCCCCACCTCTTTTCTGTCTCTCTCCCTGTCTGTTGACTTTCTTTGCCCAAAACACGAAACTCTTGGTGTCTTGTATGTGCTTGTAAAATCGGCTATCCACCATGTTTGCATCTTCTAATATAATGCCAGAACATGTCTCTCTCTCTCTCTCT